GGTCCAAATTAAAGCCAGCAGCTCACAGAGCCCATAATGATGGAAAAGCAGACTTTAATTATAAAAAGGGGAAAAAGGCTCCCTTCTCCTCATTTCAGCACAAAATTACTAAAAACTAGTAAATAATTATGGCTGAATTTAAAAAAGAAAAGAAGTCAGACAAATAGTCCGCAGGCTCTGCAAGAGGAGAGATGAGGCTAAAGGGACATGAGGCTGCGCCTGCAGCACGAGGAGGACTGCTTTTTCCCCTGCTTTAACACATGAGGCAATGTTCACCTGACATTCCCTGACAAATTTAAGCGCAACAGAAATGTAATTGTGTCTAAGACAAAGAGAGAGACGGCTGCAGACCGCGTCTGGTTACGTGCTATGCATTTCCTGTTTCCTAGAAATGATGTGAAGTATATAGTATGCTTTATGTTTTCTGTGCACCGTGCGAATGACACACAAACTCCTGGTTTGTTTCAGTAATTGTTCACTGTGTGTAAATTGCTGGCAGACTTCATGAGGGCTTTTTATATTCGTGGCAGTTATTTATGCCACACTGATACAGTTTGGCAACATAATCAAAGTAGCTCTGCTTTGATCCCCCCCCCGTTGTCGAATAAAAACAAAGCAGGGTGATGTTACTTTCAAATTAAAAAGTATTATCCCCTGTTGCCTTTTGTTTCTCCCTGCCACATGCTGCTGGTTTCAAACTTTACCCATGCAGAAAAATAAAGTGATGAGTGTTTATACAATCATAGAAAAACCAAACCAAAAAAATAAATTAAATGTATTGACAAAAGCGATGCTGACAAAATGAACTAGCATTGTAGCGCCTTTCAAAGGTGCCACGTGGATCGTAACCATAGCAAACATGGTCAAATAAACAGGCAGTAAAACGTTGCTTTTGCCACAGTACACTTTGGTTTGCCCTGGTAGCCATAGTGACGAGGAGGTTGCAAAGTGAACCCTGCCATGTTGCACACGTGAGGAGAAGGGGGTTTATGAAAGAATAATTTGCATTGAAACATAAGGTTAAATGAAGCGCATGGAGGCTCCGGCACGGTGAAAAAACAACCCTGGGACCCTCTCTTAGTGGTCCTACATGGAGGCCCACATTTCATTTGGACAGCCCAAGAACCAGAGAGCGAGACAGGGAGATAAAGAGAGGAAAAGGAGGAGAGGAGGGGGAGAGTCTGTGCCTTTGCACTCCCCATTCTGCCCCCGCTCTCTATTTTTGTTTCCTCTTTTTGTGCACGCTCAACGCACACACTCACAGTGCAATGGATTTTCAACTTGGCCCTCATCAGTTTTGCGCCTGATGAAACAAACACTGACAGCCTCTTTACATTTGTAAAGGCCCCTGCAGCAGCTGTGCTTGTCCCACACACACACACACACACCCCCTTTGAATCAGAGGCCTAGCCCCAGCTGGGGCCTACAGGAAGAGCCGACTCTGCACAAAATGGCCCTGGCTGCACTCTGCCGTGTACTCCTGCTATTCTCGCTTACAAACGTTCACAAACACACACACACACACTGTGTGTCATGTTTCGTTAGACAGAACAACACTGCCACACATTAGCCCTTTCTACCTCAGTCATTACACAGCACCTACCCTCAACCACTGGCTTGAAAGGAACCAACAAATTAAGAGAATGAACCAACAAAACAAAATTATTTCAATTTTAATGGAAACCGAGAGAAAGAGTACTCTCTTGCTCCTGCAGTGTCACTCAACCTGACGAAGCATGTTGGGGGGGGGGGGGGGGGGGGGGGGGACTGACAGGGCAATTTGACTTTTCTTTTTAGTTCCGTTGACATTGGCAGCCATAAATTCTAGTAGAAAATGGTAATTGCCATGTTTGCTTTCATTAAGGACTCATCCCATTTTATGACTGATGAATTTTAATATCATTCGCAGATAGTGCCTGTTTGTTGGGAGCAGCGAATGGGGGTGGAGGGGTAACAACTCACACTCGTGTTTCAGGGGAAATGGTTAAGCCAAGCATGTATAATTGTCTTACGCTAATTAAAGTGGGGGAGGGGGGGGGGGGGGGGGATCAGTAGGGGCCAAGAGTCCTGTCTCAAAGCCTGGAGGGGGGCTTGGGGAGCTGGACTCCTCCAGGTTGTTGTAGAAATGCACATTTGTGAGCCTTATTTGGTCCGGACCAGACTTTATGCATTAACTGCAGCTGCTGAAAATACATGACTCACATGCATACTACAGAAACATAGGTCCTGCAGTCGTGCACACATATAAACCATTTCCCTAGCCCTGAGGTTCTTATAAATAGTTAGTTATGAATAGACCAAATGAAAAAAAAATGAAACAGCCTATCCAATTTTAGACTGTGACACTGTTGGTCATCATAGTCTGGCTTAATTTTAAGAGGGGACTTTTGTTTCAGTTAGTCATCAATTCTATGCCACATTCTGTTTCCTCAATTCAGACACAGGCTTAATAAGATCTTCATAAAATCCAAAACTTTTCTTCACAAAATTTAACCCACTTTCTCCAAAACACAAGGCAATTAAAGTATGGTCAAGATAATGTTAAAGTACTTGGTCTTTAGAAGCAAAAAGTCACTTTTAGGGTTGAATATCTAAAAAGTCAGCTCCAAGTATGGCAAAGGACACTATAGGATGTTGATCATCTGCTACAAGTGTTATACACAAGAGGACTGAGGTGCGATGCACCATCTTAGATTTACTTTTTCCATTTTAAACATACATCCGCCTTCTTTGGGTTCACTCACATTTGGGTTGCGTTTCAACAAATAATTGTTTAGGCCCATACATTTCAGTGTTATTAGTGATGATGTGTTGAACAGTAACAGAAATTTGTGTTGCCCATAAGACATAAAGATGTGTTAATAAAATAATTTTTAGGCTATGCAGTGGACTTGATCATAGAAACCATCCCAGGTGGTTTAAATAATAGATTGCTGATCCTCGGCTGGAACAAATTTTTCTTGATGCCATATCTATATGTTCATACTAAACATACCAGGTACATAGATATGTACAATTATGAGGTGGCAGAAACCACATGGTCACTTGTAAAACTATAAATACAGCCATAAAACTGAAGAGTTCTTGAGAAAATTCTATTAGTCTATAGTTGCAGAAATTCTCTGACTACACTTCAATTGATTACAAATGTATGTAATACAAATATATTTAAATTCTCCACACACACACACAATACAGAAAAATGCCCAGGTGAATTAAGCTGTACGAAATAACGCATGGAAACAATCCTTTTTGTATGTGGTCTAATTGTTTGCTTGCTCCTACAAACCTGTTGCTCAGTTTGGCCTTTAGCAATATATATATTTGTTAACTGCACAATAGAAATGTGAGAAATTGTTGAGTTTTTATTTGATTTAGCAACCAAACCGCTTGCAGGAGTTAACAAACTTTTTAAAAGACACTCCACGTGTTGTTTGGACGGGGGTGGGGCGGTTTGCTCTGCTGACTTCAGCTCCAGAGCCTTAACAGACATGATATGCCCAGTGCAATTAAACGCAACACTGTGTCAAGTGACGAGTATTCACAGCAACAATCTATAAATGCATCAGAGAAGTGCAACAAACTTCAAAGCCCAGCCACAGAGGCCCGGCCAGCGAGTGTAGTCTTCGTGAAAAATGATACATTGTAACTTAGGCGGCTGATATGTTGAGCCATTCACACACACTTTGCAAGATTAAAACTCTTTGTTTCATTGATGAAGGAGGACACGTAGTGTTCGCCAGACCAACGCCTAAACCAACACTACAATTTAAGCCTAAATTAGGCTGTTTTTATTTCACAGCCCCTTCCCCATAAATCCACCAGTGTTACTTGCAGAAAGAAAATGGTTGCTTCTTGGTATCGCTTCATACATGAGCCTCTGCAATGCGACTGATACAGGCTCTTAAAAAGATTGGCTCATTCAGAAACCTTGTGCTCGACCACATCGACCACGTAATGTGCAGTCTAATGCGAATTCGGTAGCAGAGGACGAGACCCAAACGCTTGTAAGCTAATCCCCAGTAGTATTTCAAAAATGGAGTTATCCCTAAGCGGGCTGCTGCAATATTTGCTCGCTCACAGAGGTCACACGGAGACCTGCAAAATGACTGATACCCTGCCGGACTTTTCGTTCATAGTAGGGCTAATAGCGAAGACAACCGCATAACAACGACGCCAGGAGAGTCCCGGCACCGTTTCAACTGTTGGAAATTGAACGAATATGCTGAATTGCATGACCCCCTTTCCTCCTGTTCTCCCTCACTCTTTATGGGGAAAATTAAAGAGCCACAACAGTCCGCGAAACATGTCGGTTTGCCAGCCCTACACACAGCAACACACAGCGCCGACATACCCAACGTTGCCTTTAACATTTAAACCACATAGGCTACATAAGCTGCCGCATGAGAATGGTTTTACATTCACGAGGTAAGAGCTCCGTTTAAAGCGGAGATACAAAAAAAAATGCTCAGGATGGGACGAAATGGAAGCCGAAATAGCTGAGCCATGGCCGACAGGCTCGTCTTCACGGCTCGGAATAGGAAGACATAGGGAGCGAACAAAAGCCTTTTCTGGGAACAGTTTGCCAAGTCCTTTAATTTTACAACCTTTTATAGCTTTATCACGTAGCCAAGACACACCATGCACCCCCACCACGCGTTTAAACAAGTCAAAATGAGCGAAGCAATCCTCCAAACCCCCCCGATGTTCAAATACCCTAAAACATGTCTGATGTCGAAGAAACGCTGCAACACAGACACTGAATAAACATTGCTGTCTCTTTAAATAAAAATCATGTAATTGTTAACACGCTAAGGTAACTCATAGCCGTTACCTTATAAAGGGTATTTGACCCAAATAGCACACCAGCTGCCTGGTGGTAACCTTCACAGTCCGTGATGAAAGTTTATGCATTTTCATCAAGACGAGCAAGGCAAACTTGAATAGAGCGACTGCATTTGTGAGCAATTTCAGAGAATAAAGGGGGCGTTTTTACTTACATATTTCTTTTGAATGATATTCCTCTTAGGTCTTTCCTTGCTCATTATGCAATCCCCAAAAAATGTTTGGCTATAGAGAGAATGGCCACATGAATTTCTTTCTTTGACTCTCGCCTCTCTCGGAGCACCACCAAATGACGATTTAAATCCCCGGCTCTGTAGGAAAAGCTTGCTGGCTTTGCAGAATCCTCCTTCGGTGTTTCCCTTAAACTATTCGGATATAAATCCCAAAATTCAAGGGTCGACGACGGACAGAGACGGACTGAAGCCAAACTCACTGGGGGATAACATAGTCAAAACAAATGCACAACAATAAGTTCCATTCGCCAAAACAGCTCGGCTTCTCCTCTCTGCGCACTCGCTCCCGGCTCTTTTCAAATACATGAATATACTTGAGGTGATGTCAACAAGTTACATCTTGTTCGAGGTGACAATACGACGAGAAATTAATAAATAAAATTTAAAATAAAACGTTAAGTGTCACGTCGTTCTTTCTTGTTTTTTTAGCTGGAGCCTGCAGTCGACGAGAGAGCTCTCCAGCGGCACTGCTCTACTGACTGAGAGCAGCTCCTTTCTTCCCCAGCCTCAGCCTCTCAGCCTATCACATCCTTTATCATTCAGCGGCAACTTCAAAATCCCAATGAGACAACCCTAAACACCAAACACTGCCAAATTGTCCTATACCACGTTATTTTATGGACTTATAGACAGTTTAATGTGATCTTACACCATGTGGTGCGTTTTAACTCCTATACTAGTAGTTTAGAAGCATTACAAGGAGAAGGGGTGGTCACAAGTTTATACTTCCCCTATGCTGGTAGTATTTGAAATCCTATGTTATCATAATATTACTATGGATGTATTGTGTCTGTAGCCTAAACTCATTGAGAAGTGACTTTAAATTAGATTAGATTTTCTAACATGCTCTCACGAGGAACAATGTTATGTTTTGTGATATGTATTGATATACTGTATTCATGGTATCTGTGGTTGTTTTGATTTGTTGGGTCACATTTCAAGCTAAAAGGAGAATTCCCAAAAGGGGCTAGAGGACAAAAAAGTAGTGGATCCTAAATGTTTATGTAAATTACAGCACATAACCCCCCCCCCCCACAAAGTTAAATGTTAGGGCATAGACTTGCATTTTATAAAATGAAGTGCTTTCAGGAACTTTTATTGAGACAAAATTAGTATGGGGAATCCTCACCTCCAGGTGTGGAGCGGAGTGTTGTCAATGTTCAAATAAGTCGTTTTTTCACTTTGTTTCCTGGGTTCATAGTAAAACACATTAGCAACCAGATTAAGCTCTCCCCTGTTACCTGTAATTCTGACTTTAACATGTTGATGCCCCAGCTCAGCCACATGATATCCAACAAAAAAATGATTATTAGAACACACTGTTGGCCTTATTTACTTTTTCCTGACAGCATAAAGTGGCTGCATATTTTTTAAGATTATCCCTCCAATATGCATGCACCAATTTTCAAAGCTTTCACCAAAATGTGTGTGTCTCTGATCTCATGCATATTTGTTCAGGTAATATTCATACTTTTGTGTTATCCACTCTGCTATGTTAACTGCCTGGGTGTCCTCATCCCCCTCACTAGAAGTGGGCTTGCTGTGTCATTATTCAAATATACTGAGTGGGACGGTTGCTCTCTATGAACCCATGAGGTAATGTGTGTGTGTGTGTGTGTGTGTGTGTGTGGTGTTACAAAAAGACACAGTTACATTTGATGTCTCCAAGTTAAGACATTGAAGAAGTCTAAATGTAGAATAATGATGTTGTTTCAGTTAGTCAGCTATGACCAAGATTGGTTAACTTAAAACTGCAATAGGGCGGTCATACTGAAATATCTCAACAACTATTGGTTGAATTGCCATTAAAATTTGTTACAGATGTTTGTGGTCTCTAGTGGATAAGTCCTACTGAATTTGGTGACCCCCTTTTGTTTTTCTCTAATGCCACCAAGAGGTTGACATTTTTAATTTTAGTTCAATGTTTCTACAATATTCAGTTAGTCAACATTTCAGTTAGTCAGCTATGACCATGGTTGACTTAAAACTGCACTATAGGGCGGTCAGTCGGTCCGCTACTTTGGTCCAGACTGAAATATCTCAACAACTCTTCGATGAATTGCCATTAAAATTTGTTTCAGATGTTTGTGGTCTCTTTTGGTACAGATGTCAACCGCGCTATTGACTTTGGTAATCCCTTAATTTTTCCTCTAGCACCATCAGCAGGTCAGAGTTTTCACTTATTCTGTGAAATATCTGAACATCTACTGGATGGACAACATTTTGTACAGGCATTCATGGTACCCAGAGACTGAATCTTACTGACTCTGGTGATCCCTGACTTTACCTGCAGTGCCACCATGAGGTTCAAAGTTGTGATTTTCAGTTAAATGTCTCAACAACCACTGGATGGATTGCCATTAAGTTTGATATAGACATTCATATTCCCCTCACAATGAAGTAGTGATGAAGTTACATCAGCGGTACTTTGTTTTGTACAAATTAGCAAACATTAGCATGCTAATCTAAGACTGTGGACATGGACCTAACCCACCCATTCAAACTCACATTCACAATTACAGGCAAGTTTGAGTCATTTTACCTGCATGTCTGTGCACTGTGCGAAGAAACCAGTGTACAGGTATGATCAAAAAATGTTAAAAGCAGGTTCAGCATCTCCCTGAACCCCTCAAAGCTGAATTACAATCAATCACCAGCATCCGTGCCATCATGTGGATTTCATTATCACTCATGTAACGAGGAAGAGCTATCGATTCCTCTTCTATGTTTGATGTAGATTTAGCATAACGTTCCAAATGATCAAAGCACTGAACTTACCCATGAATGCATGAACAAAGACACCAAATCAATAGCTGACAGGTCAATAATTCTAAGCAAGGCTCGTGGATGACATGATATTTATATAACCCCCCCATAAAATTAGGTTGTGTGTAATATATAAACAGAGTGTGAAAGAAATATTGAAGGATCAGTAGGTATCCAGAAAATTATATTTAGGGAAGTGATAATGGTATGTGATTTAAATAAAAGCTGATCATAAGCAAGTTTATTGTGTAGTAAAATAAATCCCAATCCTTTATATTCAGGTAAAGCCATTGAAAGTACATGTCAGAAAATATTGTAAATCTTATCTATCTATCTTTAGTAAATGTATATGTGGACATAATATTCTTTTAGCTCCCAATCAATGATGTCTTGTCCTTTGACAGCGTTAGAGTCAAGCAGGCTATTTTGAGACGAGGCTGTGGAACACACTGCCTTTAGCCCCCATCACCCTGCACTCTCGGGGGGTTTACCAGGGTCCACTGCCCTGCTGGTGCTGACATTTAGGACCACATGAATCAATGAGACAGGCTGCAGAGGGATGCCTGAATTTCACAGCAATCCCCCACATAGTTCACATTTAGCCCACGCCATGTACAGGCAGAAGGGTTGGAAGGTCTTAGAGACATTTTTAGCATGACTTTCTCTGTGTGCAGAAGGCTTGGCAATAATGGGACAAAATCTGATCATTTATGATCCAGATCAAAATGATCTGGCTTACAGAGTCCTTTGAAATCCTATTCTATCCTATATTGAGTCCTATTCTTAAATGTAAATTAAAAAGCTTTAGTTTAGGGGTAAAATGTGCTATCAGTTACTCCAGTGTGCTAATGTCATGTGTATATGTTAGAGTCTGGTGGTATCAGAGTAAAGTCTGTTGTGAAGTAAGTGCATGATGCGATGGCCGATTAAACTCTAATCTTATTTGATATTGGTCAAAGGCAGGAAAGGATTTAGATGACTCATCTGTTTCTATTCATATTTAGGTAGCACATGAAACTGAGAGTGTGTTTGTGTCTGTGTTTTGTTGTGTGCATCCTTGGAAGAACAGCGGGTTTCAGAAGTGCTGTTTGGACTGCTCTGCACTTGTATAAATGGCGACATTTACACCAATGCATTTAGAAGTGTGTGTATGTGTGTTTTGTGTGTCTATATATGTGTGTGATGGAGAAGGCCAGGGATTGATTAGAGCTTTCACTCTCAATGTGGTTAATTGCCCAGTGAGGCTTAGCAGACGGTGCTGGCTAGATTGATGTCCAATAGCCAAGAAGGGGGGGAGTAAGGCTGTGTTTGTGTGTGTGTGTGTGTGTGTGTGTGTGTGTGTGTGTGTGTGTGTGTGTGTGTGTGTGTGTGTGTGTGTGTGTGTGTGATGGAGGGGTTTGGAGGGGGGATTGAATGGTTAAATATTGCACACAGTGGAAATAAACCCAAAGGAGTTTCCTTCAAAAGAAAGGAAAACTCAAGCGATTGTAATCACATCTGCTGAAAATAAAGGAAGATGCATTGAAATAAAGAAAAGGAAAACACTGAGCCATGTCACCTTTTGTTTTGGTAATTAAAAGGGTTTGGTTTTTTTTACAGTGAGTACGGCCTCCCCTTTTAGAAGAGGCTTTCTGTTGGGTTTAATTTAACAATGACCTGATGTTTTCATCTATCCTCAGTTCCCCTGATCTTACTCAATTTATTTGTGTGCTTTTGCCATAAGTACTATGACAGTTCAAAGAGACGTCCTTTTTAATTTTGCAGTCAAAAGTTCCTAGAAGTTCAAATGTTTCTATAAACACAAGTATTGCAGCGCAACAAAATAACATCTCAAATGAAGACGAATGGCATTTTCAGGAGCAATAGTGTATGCCACTCATGGTCTTTTATTCTTCTGTACTTATCGTCCAGGGTCATAACATGATGTTTATTGTTCAATAAGTGGGGTAGGGAAAGGGAAGTATGTATGTGAGGGGAGGGTTGGTATTAACTCTCTGAGAGTGATACTATGGTACAGTAACAAGTGAGCCACAGTGTTGGCAGGGGGTTGGGTTGATGAGGAAGCAATAAAATCCTGCCTCGTACAATTCTCTCCTTTTCACACAGACTGCTAAAACTAAGTAATACAAGACCAGGGATATTGAATACTATATATAAAATAAGAGAGACAGAGAAGGAATGAAATGAGTAGTTAGATGTATTTTGATATCAGACTTTCACTCTTTTCTTTATTCTGAGAGGTTGCATTAATGTTAGTGTGTGTGTGTGTGTGTGTGTGTGTGTGTGTGTGTATGTGTCTGTGTGTCTGTGTGTGTTGGGCAATTAGGCTAATTTGGTGAAATGCACATCCAGGATGGCAGCCAGAAAAGGAAAAAGTGTACATTAGGAGCTACTTTACAATCTTTACCTTACTTTATCGAGTAAAAGTGCAAGTGATGTAAAGTAAAAGGTTTTCCTCACTGTTCACATGACATGCATCAATGTGTTGTTTTTTAAGGTAACACAAGAAGCCCGACCATGTAGGAACTCAGACACAGGAGGAGAGGCTGGTGAAGGGTAAAAAATAAAATCCCTTTATGGTTGTGTTGGCTACTATATCTATGAATAAACGCTGTAGATGACATGAAATCAAAAGCATCCAACAAGTTAAATAATCTGCCAATGTGGCTTATTTGAACATATTTCCATTAGAAAATGTAATGTATCAAGAATTTTCAAGA